CACTCCACACACTTGCCTGCTAGTCGCCGCTGTCGGCCGCTCGCACCAAGCGGAGGCACGCACGAGGCGCTTGCCGCTGGTATCAGACGCTAGCACCAGGCCCACCGCCAGCACTGCCGCCCCTGCGACTACAGCTGCAGGCATCATCCATCTGTGGTCGTCTGCAGGGGTCCGGAGAGAGCGGTCAGAGATAGGGAGGAGCGTGCTGGCGGCAGCGGCCAACACACCAGTGCAGCGCCGCTGAGGGGGCCGGCACCCACGCTGCTGTCAAACACTGTGCGTCCTGCCCACGCCTGGAGCTCTCCGGGGCGCCATCGGTGCTCACCACGCGACCGCCTCTTCGGAGTGGCTCGCCTCCTCCGAGATGGCCGCGCCGCAGGCCGCTCCGAGCCATGGCTGCCTGGGTGCCGGGCGTCCACCTGCATAGCGATGCCGCCCTGCTGTCTGCTTGAGCCATAGCTGCTGCTATCCATATGGCAATATTGCCGCTGTGGCGTTTCACAACGAACGCATTGTGTGCAAACCAAGACAGCACAATGCTTTTGCGGCAACTACGCCGATGATGCGGCCCAAAATTCGGGGCTGTGCTGGGCATGCTGGGGCGGTGGCGGCAGCGGTCGCCGCAGCACGGCGGCAGGTTGCCTGCCTGCCGCCTGGAGCCCTCACCAGCATCGGCACCGGTTGGCATGGCAGGGCTAAGCTGCTAAGGATACCCACGTCCCCCACCACGTTGTGGGGGTTGCGTGTGCGGCAGGACGGGGAGCGGGGCCAGGGTGGGGTGACCCTGGGACCTCAGCTCAGGGGAGGGTGGCCGGAGCCATGGAGAGGGTGCTCCATGGTCCACCCCACTCCTGATGATTGATGCCCCTTGATCAAGTGTGTCCCCTGCCCAAGGTCTGCTCACGCGGCCTATCGGAAAGGGGTGACTGTAACACATGACCAGCTGTATTCGTAACCACACACAGCACAGCAGGCTCGGGCATCTTCTGCATGCTTGGTCATCACGAGGGCCCTCCTGGATTCACTGTCATCCACTGGATTGGCAAGGCCGTTCGGGGCTTGCCCCGGCCGCCTGGATCGGCCGCCTGGCGAGGTATAGAACTGACCCAGCTACCTTGTGGCACCAATGCAACTGGCAGTGCAGCAGTATTGTTCACATTCAGACTGCGATTTAACTCTGACCGGTCACAACAAGGCCACTAAATACTGGAGCGAGAGAGAGCGGCTTGGCTGCTCAGAAATGGTGGGGGCAGAAGCGGTCAACAGCCACGCCAAGCACGCATCTACATATCTTCGTTCCATTCACCATGCACATGCCGCTGGCTGGCGTGCAGCAGGGCTTCCTCCCAGTGCTGCTGGTGCCACCCCCGCTCGCCCAGACGGCGGCGGGCCTGCTGCTGCTTTATTGGCGGGTCTTCATGCCCCCACTTGCATTTAGCAATCCATTCCTTCCACCCCTTGTCTGCCTCGTCCTCCTCCGGCCACGAGCCGGGCGTGAGGTCGGGGATGGCATCCAGGAAGAGGATGTGCGGGCCATCCTTCTGCTTGGCCGCCTCCGCCGTCGCCGCCAGGCTGGCGCCCTTGGGCGCCTGCTGCTGCTGCTGCTCCTTGGGGGCGCTGTCCTCTGCAAGCTTGCGCCTGCGGCGCTTCGGGGCGCCCGCTGGGCTCCGCCCCTGCGCCTGCTTCTCGCCGCCTCCTTCCTCTGCCTTCGTCTCTGCCGCATCCACCCCCCCCTGCTCCTGCGCCCGCTCCAGGCCCCCCAGCTGCACCGTGTTGTCGCCACTGGGCTGGCCGGTGCCCTCTGGCAGGCGCCGCACCAGCTCCAGATAATCCAAGTGAACAATGTACCTGCCCGCCATGCAATCGGGGTCGACCGCGCGCCACCAGGTGCAGCGCTGGTCATCATCCAGCCCGTAAATGAGCAGCTGCAGAGGAAGAAGGCGCGTGTGTGTGTGTGTGTGTGTGTGTTAGGGGAGCTCCCTCCTGAGAGTCGGGTCAAGATGGGCGCATACACGGCACAGGCATGCAGACGGTCTGCGCCTTTACACTCTGCCCTGCTGCGCGGGGTCAGGGCGGGGGAAAGGAAGCAAGGCTCACCGCTTCTATGTCCAAAAAGCTCTTGCGGTGGCCCGGCGGCGCCCGCTCCTGCTGCTCGCCAAAACCCAGCTGCACGCCAGCGGCGGCCGGTGGCGCTCATCAGGCCAGCCAGCGTGGCAGAGTTAGGCAGGCGGGCAGTCACGCAGCGCTGCACAGCCCAGGCAGCCAGTCCAAGGCCCAGCCACCCCATCGCCCCTGCCTCACCCAGGTCGCATTGCAGACGGGGTCTGGCAGCAACAGCACGCGCCCCAGGCGGCCCGCCAGCCGCACCAGCTGCAGGAGCTCGTCCCTGCAGCAGGTGGCAGACAGGCGGGCGGGCAGGCCGACAAAGGGCGTTGGAGCGCAATGCAGCCCGTTGCCTGCCATACAAGGACAAACAGGGGATGCGAGTTGCAGGCAGCACCATAAACCGCACCTGTACTCAAGCGCCGTTTCACTGGGAAGCCTGACGCCGGGCAGCAGGGCCAGCACGCGCGGCAGCGGCGCCTCGGGCGTGGCAGCCGGGAACAGCTGGCCGCGCAGGGCCTGGGGCAGGGAGGGAGGGCACAACCACAGCGTGGCGGTAGACAGTGAGGCGGGGTGATGCAGGTGCAGCAGACGGCACGATATGAGCAGCAGCACGGACGGGTGGCAGCTGATGCCAGCCAGGGCTGGACTGCAGGACAGAACGCCCTCCGGTAGTGGCCGCCAGCTCGGCAACCGCCACACAGCACGACTGCCACCTCAGCGCCCCGTCAGCGCCTCACCTGCGCCACCTCAAAGTGGAAGGCGCCGGCGGCCTTCATGACGTATTCTTTCTTCCAGGAGTCGTGGGGCCCTGGGATGAAGAGCATGTGCACCTGCAAAGGGAACGGTGCACCAAACAAAAGCTCAGCAACAAAAAAACCAGAGGTGGCAGGGCAGGCTGCACTGCGTGCCGCTGCTCCTTGGGTGCGCACCGCCTGCTTCCGGCCCCCGCCAGCGCCGACTGCTGGTGCCACCACAGCAGGGCAAGGCGTGAGCTCAAGGCAGCAGGTGCCAGTTGAGGCATAACCTGGACCCAGGGGGATGCCCCTCCACCGCCTTGCCCTCGCGGCACCCACCATGACTTGCGGGGGCGGCCGCAGGTCAAACCACCCGGTCAGGCCGCGGTTGAGCCAGGACTGCACCCAGCACGCAGCAGACACACATGCCTCACACTTACAGCAAGCAACGCACGGGCTCCAACGCAGGGCACGGTGGGCGGGTTTGAGCAGCCCGCGATCCCTGGGGCGATGCAGCGCAGGCCACGCATGTACAACTGGCGCTAGGGGGCGGCACCACCACCGTTCCAATCACTCCCAATGTGGGGGGTGGCGCCGCCAGGCGGCTGCACGAGCTTGCCACTGCCACTCACCGCTAGGAACCAGCTGCAGCAGGAGCCGAGGGCAGAACAGGGCAGGGGCAGGGGCAGGGGGTGAGGGGCCACGCGCGGGGTTCATCACACAGCCCACGCCGCTGGTGTGGCACCAGCAGTGCCTGCAGGCGGCGGCGCTCCTCCACGCCCTGCCACAGCCAGCGCTGCTACCGGTCAGGCAGACGTGCCGCCACGCTTGAGCAGGGCAAGCAGGGGGCTAGCGCTCCAGCACGCCCCTGCCAGGCCCTGCTGGGTGCTCAGCTCACTCTGGGGTGAAGATGAAGGTCTCATTGAGAGGCACGTAGTCAGCAGGTGGGGCCCCGTCGGTGTCTGGATACTTGATCCCGCTTTCCTCCTCGATCATCTGCGGCACAGCAGGGGAGCTGGTGAGGAAGTGCTGGCGGCCGCCGCTGCAGCAACAACTCAGAACATCCTCACCAGGCTGGCCGGCTGCGGCAGGCAGCAAGCCGCTCGCCTGGCAGCGACGTCACCCCGGCGGGATTGCGGCGGCAAGCCAAGCATGTTCACACAAGTACACGTGCAGCACACACAGCCCAAGCAGGCCCCCACCTTGATGAAAGCCTCTGAGTAGTTGAGGCGAGGCGGGAAGCGCTTGCCGGCGATGCTCTCATCCCACGTGCCGTTGAGGTACTGCAGGTGGCATTGCAGTACCACACACATGCAGTACATCGGGACCAGAAGCCGCAGCGCAGGCAGTTCCAGCAACCCGAGCGGGCTGAGCCTCGCACATGCGTGCGCCACACCCCCCATCCGGCTGCATCTCCCCGACCCTTGCCCCGTCAGCACCAAAGGCGGAAGCAGAAGAGGAACGCAGAGGAAGGACAGCGCCCCCGGGCGTGGGTCCAGGAAGCCGGCAGGGTAGAGGCCCTGTCGACAGGGTAGAAGCCATGCCACCCACCGGTACCGTGAGGTCGAAGCCCATCATCTTGCCCTCGGTGGCGTTGGTGAGGTTGTGCCAGGCCGGCGGGTACCGCAGCAGCACCCCCGGGTCGTGGTAGTGCAGCAGGCTGTGCGGGTCCTTCATCAGCGTGGCCGACTGCATCATGGTGAAGGCGATGAAGGGGTGGCGCACGTAGTTGCCGGCCACCACATCTGACAGCACAAACTG